CAGCACACCCTCTCCACACACACACACGCACACACACACGCACACACACACACAAGCAAACACGCTTGGGTCCATACCAATCCCTCAATCATCTCTTCAGCTTCATAGGAGGGCTTTCCACTACCACCTAGTCCTACTTTTCTACCTGAACACTCCAGGTTCCTTCTCTGCAGTCTTCTCCAAGAACATACTCCATCCATCATCCCATTTCCATCTTGTGTCTTTACCCTCTCACTGGCTTCTTCTCTTCATTATTAAGCATATTCATATTTCTCTTTTCTTTAAAAAAAAACCATCTAAGACACTTTGATCCATAATAGGTATTCAACTAGGTGATAGGAAGACTGATTGCCCTCTGGTTCCATAAAGTAGATCCTAATTGGTCAAAGTCAACCATTATCCCATAGCCAGTATTTGCTTTAGGCTTGAGCATGTGGTACACTTGACTAATGAGACATCTATCAAGAGTTTTCTTTACTTTTAAAACAAATCACAAAGAATAGATGGTCTCTTAGTCTCCTGCCTGGATGTGATGCTTGGACCTGTATCTGCCATCTTTCAACAGGAGGGATGCTAGCCTGAGCGCAAAAAGAGCAGACCAATAAACAGAACCTGAATCCTCAATAACATTGTTGAGCCACTGGTTTAACCAATCCTGGAGCCACTGTATCTTAGGACTTCTTGTTACATGAGATAATAAATTGTCCTTATCACTAAAGCCATTTTGAGTTGAGACATACTGTTGTTGGAAGCATCCTAACTGATACAAAGCTGCCTGTAGTTTTGACCAACCAATGACTCGACTGATCATTTCTTCCTCCTTGAAATTCTTTTAGCTTCGATGACCTTGGTTTTTCCTGTTTTACTTCTTCCTCTCTGGGTTCTCCTTTATAAGTTTCTTCTCTCCTGGCTGATCCTTAAATGTTAGTATTCCTTGGGATTATGTAATCAGTCCTTATTAAGCACACTTTCCATATATGATTTCATCTGTGGACATGCCCCTCTTACTTGTTTTTGATCATGCCCAAATCTGTAGCTAGGTGCCTTGATCTATAAGGACTCTATTTTCAGTCCCAGATATGATTATTCAGCTATCTTTACAGAACAAGATGCCTCCAAAACACTCGATTTGAACATGTTCAAAGATGCGTTCGTCATCTTCAACTCTTCCCCTACTCCTCCTAACCTCTCAAACTTGCTTTACCTCCTATAAGAACCCACCCAGTTGCCCATCAGTTACCCTAGACTCTTCCCCTCCCTTAACCTTCATGTTGAAGTCCTACCAACGCTACTTCTTCTATGGCCTCAGTTCTGCAAGCAATTTTCTCCTGAAATATATAATAATCTCCCAAACAGTAACTGGAAGATTAAGTATTCTAGTCTACCAGCGAGGCTGAAGTCCAAAGCCTGTGTGCCCTGGAACATAGCCATTACACTAAACTGCACCCCATCTCCCTTTATAGAGCTTTCTTCTGTCAATAAGTCTGCCCAACACAGACTAAATTCATTTATTCTCTTCAGCCATAAATTGGGAGATGTAATTCTCCATGGTAAGATGGCAAAGTCTATGATTTTGTAACAACAAAAGTAAAAATATATGTTTGAATACCGGGAGAAGATTACTATTTGTAGTAGCTCCTTCTATTTGCCAAACACTGGGCTCAGTATTCTACACACACTGTCTCATTTAATCCTCCCATTAGCCTGATAGGTAAGCTTAACTATTACATCACTGAAAGAGATAAGGCGTATGGATGTGCCCAGTACCAAACCTGGCACATACACCCGTTGCCGTCAAGTCTGACTCGTAGCGACCCTGTAGGACAAATTAGAACTGCTCCTTAGGGTTTCCAAGGCTGTAAATCTTCATGGAAGCAAACTGCCACATCTTTCTCCTGTGGAGCAGCTGATGGGTTCAAACCGCTGATCTTTCAGTTAGCAATCGAGTGCTTAACCACTGCACCACCAGTGCTCCTTCACCTGGCACATAGTAGAAGCCAATCAATCATTGTTTTCAATGTTACAGATAAGAAACCCAAGGACTCTTATTTTTCCTACTCTAACCCTGCAAGAAGAGCCCTGGTAGCGCAGTGGTTAAGAGCTCAGCTGCTAACCTAAAGGTTGGCAGTTCGAATCCACCAGCTGCTCCTTGGAAACCCTATGGGGCAGTTCTACCCTGTCCTATAGGGTCACTATGAGTCAGAACTGGCTTTTGGTTTTAATCCTGCAAGAAATCTTAACAGGTGGAAGGTAAAGTCATAACAATCAATTTGTTATTCCATTTTATAATCTTTCTCCAAGTGATGCTTATTCTTAACTGATTCCTAACTTATCAATCATGCTTTTACAGGAGTTGGTACATTTTATTTTTCGATTTCTCTCTTTTTTTCTTTTTTCCTTCCTTCCTTTCCTCCCTCTGTCCTTTCTTTCCTTCCTTTCTTTTTTTAACATTTATGCAGGCATGCCCTGAAGAAGTAATACCAACAGACAGTGCCACCTTCGCCCTCCTCCACCCTTCCACTGCCTGCCCTTCATTAAATTACTGTAACTTTGCCTGACACTCGATCTGCATTTTCATTATTTTCCCACTGTCACTTAACACACCTATAGCCTTCTTTGCACTTTCTCTGTGAAAATACAGAATTCATTAACTTACCTTGGGAGTTTTACTTTAGGCATCTTATGCTGAAGGAAACAGAAATACAGAAATAAACTTTTCAAGCCTCTAGGGAAATGTCCTTATTTGTAGGCTGTCTTATATAAATGTGCATAGGAACTTAACCTATTGCCCTTGAGTCGATTCCGACTCATAGCGACCCTATAGGATGGATTAGAACTGCCCCATAGGGTTTCTAAGGAGCGGCTGGTGGATTTGAACTGCCGCCCTTTTGGTTAGCAGCCGAGCTCTTAACCACCGTGCCACCAGGGTTCCCATAGGAACTAGGAAGCCCTAATTTCAAGTGTATAAAGTAAACAAAGTGAACAAGTTAATGCAACCTGGTAGGACAGTATTCAGATCTCTTCCCTGACCCTAAGCCCTTAGTCCTAGCACCTTGCAGATATTTACTCTCTGCTCCTCTTCCTAGCAGGGCCAGGACTGGGGACCAAGTGCTGACTCAGCACTTGCAGGACTCTCACAGTGATACCTCTTTAAATTTTGCCCCTTAGGTGCTTCCCTTGCATCACCCTAGTCCTGGCCCTGAATATTAACTCCTGTTCCCACAAAATAATTGACAAACAAAAATAAAGTATTTGAAACAACAGAGTTCACCCTTGAGAGGGTTTTTGAAAGCTTAAGTACAGGGTTTCATTCTTCCATCTGAACTCCTTTGACAACCTGGGGTATCCAATTGCCCTATTTTCTGGCCCCATGGTAGAATGTTCAGAGGGCTTCCAGCCAGTGAAGAAAATGTCAAGATGTCATCAGAAGTCTTAGACTAAAGTTCTAAGTCAGAGATTAGGAAAAAAAGAAACTTCTGACCAGGTTAGTCATTCAGACTCATATGATTCAAAGCTCACCATTGAAAACCAGCGAGGGGTTTTGGATACAAATTGGGTTGAGAGATGTGGTCATCATGAGGGACATTGACCAGATATTTTCATTTCTTCCTCGCCTCTCCCTTCTTCCAATCTAGATACATGGTACAATTGCACTTCCAACCTCCTTGTGGTTGGGAGTCACTATTAACAAGTTCTGGGCATTTAATTGCCAATACAAGATGTCCTGTGATCACTTTTCCCTCTGGCCAAGTGACTGACAAAATTCAAGATGGTGGCTGCTCTGTCAGCCTGAGGGCTACCAGAATGCCCCTAGAGGCCCGCAATGAACATAATGGCGAATAAACCTATATTATTTTATCCACTCCAATTCAAATGTTCCTAGCCTATCCTAATTGTTACAAGAGGTAAGCAGCCTCCAAGAAAGATGGCTGAGAAGACTCTCACTGTGCCATCCTCAGTGGAGATAGAAGCTTTTGAGCCCTTATTGAATGATTACAGAGTGCCAGGCACAGTTGAATGTAATTACATGTGTTAACTCTCCTAATCCTTGCAACCACCTTACAAGGTGTGTGCTATTAGGATTCTTACTTGACACATAGAGGGAGAGGGACAGAAAGGTTGAATGAATTCCTGAAGGTAACATAGCTAATAGGTAGCAGAGCTAGGATTTGAATCATGTCATCCTGGTTCTAGATTATGTTCTCTTAACCAATTATAAGCTATAGCTGATACATCATCCTCCTCATATTTAATTTTAAGAGTTATTCAGACTTTGGCATCATTCAGTGCCATTGGTTTCCAGAAAACTGCATTTTTGGGTTTCACATAGACATAGCGGCTCCTTTCCTAGAATTTCTTTTCCTTCTCTTGTCTGAGAGGAATGACTTACAAGCTCTCCTTACATGAGCAACCTCTGGGCCTCACTGTTAACCATCCATTCCTACTTAACATCCTATCCGGGGCCAACTCCATTAGCTACAATAAGGACCAACAATTAGATTCCTGCCGTATTGTATCAGAGCAATAACACTTGATCTCTGCCCTTCCTACTCCAACAGATTTAGAGATCTAATGACAAACTGCACCTGCCTCTCAGGTGCAAGCAAACAAACTCCACTTCTCTGGCCAGTAGCCAGCAAAAAATGGACGCCATCTTAGCAGGTTCAATGTCCCAGCAGGTCATACATATCAAGGAAAGAAATAATTGATGTTCTCCCACGTTCCCTTTGGCTAATGATGTGTTTGATGTTCTCCCATACTCTTTACCAACATTGAATCCTAATGGATTCGGCAAAACAGCCAAATACACCCATGAGACAGAATGTCTTATTGAAGCAAATCTATTTACCCAAAAAGACTTACTTGTGTTGCTTTGTGGGAATACTTCAGCTGTTGACAATTATCACTGATGGGGGCTCCAGAACCCCATGGATGCTGAAGAGAAAATGGCTTGTTTCTCACCTGCTGTCCTAACTGTTGTGACTTGTCATTTTGTGCAGGGTCCTGTGGATCTACTCTGAGACTGGTACGTGGGTGTATCCTGTGTTTGCCAAACTCAGCCCAGTGGGTCTAGCAGTCTTCTTCTCTCTCAGCTACATCCTCACTGCCAGCATCTACCTACTTGGCGAGAAGCTCAACCACTTGAAATGGGGTCAGTTATTTCTCTTTTGTCTACAGCATTACTTCTTTCTTACCCACTTTCTACTCCTTCTGGAAACTGAAGGAAAAATTAGTGCAAAGTAGAAGGCAGTAATGTTTGATGCCTTTGTTCAAAGGACTCTAAGAGGTCATGTCAAACAGGTAAAGGAGAAACCCAGGGGAAGATTTGCACTTTCTCAAAGGATCCCATCAAATTAACCTCCTTTCTCCCCCACCCCCACCCCCCAGAAAAAAAAAAAAACAAAAAAACACCTCATATAACCTTAAGGCTAAAAACAATCTTGTTTGGAGACCTCAGGACCCAGAGACCAAGGTACCACTATTCCAGCATGAGAGAATGGGCTCAGGGTCTCTCCTTAAGTGAGGGCTTGAGAGGCACCAGCTGTTCAGATGTCAAGCTTTCCTCTTTGCAGGAGGAAGGACCCTCTCAGCTCAGCTGTTCAGCCACAGAGGTTCATTCCCAGATGAGTTCCAACCTCCCCTAGTGGGTTGCTTCTCAACCTTCAGCAAAGCAATGACCAGTTCAAGTCATATGTTATACTTGAGATTGGAACTCCAATTTCAACAGGAGCTTGGGCAATGTGAATATGTCAGTAAGCAAAGGTTTCCAATTACAGGTGGGTAGAACCATGCTGGAGCCCTGTTGGTGCAGTGGTTAAGAGCTTGGCTGCTAAGCAAAAGGTTGGCAGTTCGAATCCACCAGCCACCCCTATGCGGCAGTTCTACTCTGTTCCTGAGTCAGAATCGAGTCCATGGCAATGAGTTTGTTTGGGTTTTTTAGAACCATGCTACTTCTTCATAAGGAAAAAAAAATCTTATTGATTTTAAAATGGGAGATTTTATCCCAACCCCCCACCTCAGAATTTTTTGTGGGAAAAGTAACTACTAAAAAGTCAGATTGCAAAATATCCATAATTCTTCCTTGCCCAAGAGGAAGTGCAGGAACTCTACCATGACTGTGTGTAACGAAAGGCAAGGAGTCACACACCATCCCCCACATCACACGCCCACGTTCCATTCTGTTCTATCAAAATAGAAATGGTAGAAATGGCATCTTCCACCCAATCTATGAACTGGTGTGAAAACATAAGCCCTTGTATTAAAAAAAAAAAAATGACAGTTACAGAAGTTTCTGTACAGGAGTATATATTTCTGAGAGGAGACTGAGACCCTGGAGAAATAAGCATACAAATAGGATTTTTCACATGTTTTCTACCCTTGGAGAACGCACCTGGTTAAGAAAGTCTCGAAGGCAATATCCTTTTTGAAAGTAAACCCTTAAAATTGGAATACTAAAAATTGCTCCCAAATCAAGACCCCAAACCACAGCAAATTATCCAGAAAAATGCATTGACATTTCAGAGTTAGAATCTAATTCAAACTAATGTTGTTTCCTTGAAGTTCTGGGTAGAAAGAAGAAAGAAAAAGAAAAAACTCATTTGCAATTTGACAGATACAGTAAGTGCAGTGAAAAACTTGATTATTCATAGCTTAGAGAAGAATAACTTTTATAATTAATTGTATTGAGTTCAGTAATGGTTCATTTTTAAATTTTTACTCCACAGTGAATTTGAAACATCCATTGAGTTAAAAAAATAAAATTTTCACTGTATTTATTATTATTGAAATCACTATTTTCAACAAAAAGCTATTTTTAATAAGCCTCACGTTTAAGTACTCTTCGATTTTTCACTACAGTTAGGTCGCAGTGAGCGAATAGGCTGGCATCAACTCTTGGGCCTTCGCTTACATCATACATGTGTGAATGTTCAGGAGTGACAGAGACAATTGTGTGTCTCCTCTCTCTAGATTAATGCCTTAAGTATAGAATGCATATAAAGTTCTATAGCATCAGAATAGGGTCATAAATGTGTTAAATATTGAACAGATCTTAATTAGTGACAAATGATTGAATAAGAATTTAAAGAAAAGTTAGATCCCTTAAGATTGCAATGGAATCCCTGGGTGGTGCAAATGGTTAGTGCACTTGGCCACTGACTGAAAGGTTGGAGGTTCTAGTCTACCCAGAGGCTCCTTGCAAGAAAGGCCTGGCGATCTTCTTCCAAAAAACTCCTATGGAGTCCAGTTCTACTCTGACACACATGGGTTGGCCATGAGTCTGAATCAACTTGATGGCAACTGTTGTTTTTTAAAGCTTGCAACAGCGGTTAACATTTTTTAGTTGCCTAAAACTAGGCAGCGTGATCTATGTGAACACATTTTACCATGTCCCATTCTGCTTAAAACACTTTAGGGCTCCCCCTAATTTACAGGTTGAAGTCCAAGGCTGTGAAATGGCACCCAGGCCCTCTATGACTGTGTCCCTGCCATGGATCTGGCTCTCCCACTTCTAACTCTGTGTCCCGGCTGTACCTTCTTTTCCCTACCTGTTGATGTTGTTTCTCACCTCCATGGACTTCTTTCCCTCACATCCCCAGTCATTGCCTGGCTCACACCTGCTCATCCATGTCAACCTAAACAAGGCCCAGGAAGCTTTCACAGGTCCACACAGGTTGGATGAGGTGTCCCCCCTCAGTGCTCCACAGCTCCCAGTGGACCTCCCAAGCACCAGGCTCACCACTTCACCATTCCTACTTTATCGTTACTGCTTTAGGGATTTGGGTTTACACTAGACCCTGAGTTTCTTTTTTTTTTATATTTTATTGTACTTCAGGTGAAGGCTTACAGAACAAACAGTTTCTCATGAAACAGTAGTACACGTGTTGTTTTATGACATTGGTTAACAACCCCACAACATATTAACCCTCTAAATTCTCAACCTATTTTTTTTTTTGGTGAAAATACACACAGCCAAAGATACACCGTTTCAAAAATTTCTACATACACAGTTCAGTGACATTCACTACCCTCTTCCAATTGTGCTGTTATTCTCACTTAAGATGAAGGCTTACAGAACAAAATAGTTTCTCATTTAACAGTTACTACAAATGTTGCCCTATGACAATGGTTAACAATCTCACAACACATCAACAATATCCTTACTCAATCTTGGGTTCCCTATCACCAGCTTCCTTGTCCCCTTCTGCCTTCTGGCCCTTGTCACTGGACTCCTGTACCTCGTTAGTCTCATTTGGTTTTATGGGGCTGTCCACTCAGAGGCTGAACAGTGAACCTTGGAGGTGACTTCACCACTGAGCTAAAAGGGTGTCTGGGGGCCATACTCTCGAGGTTTCTCCAGTCTCCTTTAGGCCAGTAAATCTGGTCTTTTTTTTTTGTGAGTTAGAATTATGCTCTACATCCTTCTCCAGCTCTGTCCAGAACCCTCTGTTGTGATCCTGGTCAGAGCAGTCTGTGGTGGCAGCCGGGCACCATCTAGCTGTACTGGACTCAGTCCAGTGGAGGCCTTGGTAGCTGTGGACCATTAGTCCTTCGGACTAATCTTTTCCTTGTATCCTGTTCTCTTCATTCTCCCTTGCTCCCGAAGGGATGAGACCAGTGGAGTATCTTATATGGCCCCTCACAGGCTTTTAAGACCCGAGACACTACTCCCCAAGGTAGAATGTAGAGCATTGTCTTTATAAGCTGTGTCATGCCAATTGAGCTAGATGTTCCCTGAGACCATGGTCCCCAGAGCCCTCCGCCCAGCAACTCAGTCCCTCGACCGTGAGTTTCTTGAGGGTGAGGACTATGTCTCAGCCATCTTTGAACCCGCCATTTCTATTAGCTTACCTATTGGATCAATCAGTGAAGACAGAAAGGCTATCCAAGGGCTCTTTCTCCCTAGGCATTGGATGGGACTTTTTGCAAAGGTATTCTGGAGATAGTAGACGAGGAGTGACTCTGATGGTTGGACATTCGAGTATGGGACAGGGAATTTAGGGAGTATAGGAGGGTGATGCCATGGTATATTTCTTGGTGAGTTTTAAAGGACAGATGCACGTCTAAGGCAGGCAGTACAAAATGGGGAAGAGCATTAGAATAGGAATCAGGAAAGCTAAAGTGTGTCCCTCACCTGGCCACAAACTAACCATGTAGCCTATGGCAATACCCATCAACACCTGGCCTCAGTGTCCTCAGTAAGAGGATGACCTCTAAGTAGGGTGACCACACATCCCAGTTTTCCCAGGACAGTACTATTTTATGCCGCCGTCCCAGCGTTCATATGGTTTAACATTGTCCAGGCTAGGACGCTGGTGGTTCAATGGTAGAATTCTCACCTTTCATGTGGGAAAATCGGCTTCCATTCCCAGCCAATGCACTTCATGCACAGCTGCCATCCCTCAGTGGAGACTTGCGTGTTGCTATGATGCTGAACATGTTTCAGCAGAGCTTCCAGACTAAGACCGACTAGGAAGAAAGGCCTAGTGATCTACTTCCAAAAATCAGCCAGTGAAAACCCTATGGATCACAACAGTCCGATCTGCAACTGATCATAGGGATGGCACGGGACCAGGTAGCATTTTGTTTTGTGGTGCGTGGTGCTGCCATGTGTCGGACTGACTCAACAGCAGCTAACAACAGGCTTGAACAATAAATTACCTGGTTCGCGTACTTGTAAGTCTATCTCTAGATCTTATGTTCTGGATCTATGGAAACTTGTAGGTAGCCACCTAGTCTGTCCAAATCCAGGGCTAACCCTAACCCTCCTTTCACAACCCCCTTGGATGAGAGAAGAAATTCTAAAGAGAGCTCAGTGACCCAGTCAAGGGTAGTGGTTAAGAGAAATGCTCTGGTACCAGACTGCCTGGGTTCAAATCTTGGTGCTTCCGCTTGTAGACCTGTGATACTGGGCAAGTCACTTAAGGCCTCTCTGCTCTCATGTTTTCTTGGGTACAGTGGAGATAACACTAATACTTCCTGCTAGGGTCATGGAGGATATTAAATGACTTGCTGATTGTCAAGTACCTAGAACAGAGCCTGGCATACAGAAAGCACTTGGTAAGAGTTAGTTGCTATTGTTGTTAATCTCATTCTCCCCTAGCAAAAACCAGTAACGTTCTTTTCTGTGTATATATTTCTCTCCTTCCCTCC